CAAACATATTCTTTCACCATCAATACACATTGAGGCCCTTCTTTTAGGTTAAAACGATCCATCTTAAATTTGTCTTCCTTGAGTTTGGGACTATTATGTGTTTAAATAACTTAAAAGGATAAACCTAAAAAAAGCCCTAAAAAATGCGCGCGAAGCGCGCAAAATACTTTTGTGTTTTTAATTCTAATTTCGTCAGAATTGATGAAAACTCCCTAAAATGTGCAATTTATAGAGGAAATTGGCCTACCGTAACAACAAATGCGCGCAAAGAATTTGAGAATTTTAGGCACTTTCAGAGGATGCATTTGTCAAGGGATGGGGAAAGATTTTCCAAAGATGGATATTTTCCCCTTTCCCCCAGTGTTTTTAATTCTAATTTCGTTGGAATTGATCAAAATTTCCTCAAATGTGCAATTTTTCGAGGAAATTGGCCCATGTTAAGAAGAAATGCGCGCGAAGCGCGAAATTTGAGGTTTTTAGGCACTTTCAGGGGATGAAAAGGGCATTTATAAAGGGGTGGGGAAGATTTTTCAAAGATAGATATTTTCCCCTTGTCCCCCAGTGGTTACGCCATCGGGCAGCATAGATCAAAGGAGTTATGACAGTTTTTGAAATGGAGAAGGGGTTGCAGGGTGTTCTGGTCATTATGATATCTTCCTTTTTATTCTTGTCTTTTTTTTTCTTTTTTTTTTCCTTTTCCTTTCCTCTTCTTTCTCTTTCCCTCCCTCTCCCTTCTTTCTTTTCTCTTATTACCCAGCCCGGTACGACGCGGTATGACGGCTTGGTCGGCCCGGTAAAAACCGTCAGAGGAGGGGCATTCCCCCCCCCCCCTTCCCGCGCCTGTTACGACACTGGCTAACACGCCAATCATCCCCCCAATGAAAAATATTTTTCTACGCCACTGCTGATGGAGCCAGGTATTATGCCTATCACCAGCAGCTGATCAGGACATTTTCCCGGACATTGCCCTGGACCCGGACACGACACACTGAAATCGCGATTCCCGAGGGCCGCGGCCGTTCACTTTGGGGTTCTCTTAATTGATTTGAGATTTGCAGTACAGCAAATTCAATAATGTGCTGTATCCTTTGCTGTGCCATTTTCGATTGGTGATGGTCTGTGACCTATAGACCACACACAAGAGGCCCTAATTGTAACTTTAGAGCACTGATGAAAATTTATTATTGTACTTAATTTTTATAAAGAATTATTTGTATACCATGGCTTCCTACGATGTCATTATTTTTAATATCTTTTGAAGCCCTTTACATTTCTTGGGGAAATCCGTCACTGCACAAACAAACAACTCATTACAATATCACTCTCTCATTCTAATTCCTATATACATGACTTGTAGTATAAGCGTTATTAATTACCTGATGATGACGTGAGACACGTCGAAACATGTCGTTCATAAGTTTCATGTACTTTATTAGATGCATTACTGCATTTATATCTTATGTTCTTATTAAATATTCGAAATAATTGTTATAAATGACTATTATTTTAAGTTTAAAAAATGGTTCGTGTGGGAATCGAACCCACCACCTCCAGTTTATGTAGCCAAAATAGAAAAAAAGAAAAAAGAATGGTTCATGTTGGAATCGAACCCACGACGAACAGACGGATGAAGCACCGCGACCCCTAAGCCATAAATGCGATGAACCTTTGTACTACACCAAGTACCATGGTCAGTCGAGACTACATTACAACATGATACGAATATATACATATAAATAATTACCATAGCAATCATTTGTTATTTTTATAAATATTATATAACTATATATGATTGCTAAAATAATTATTATAATTATACTTATTATAATTATTATTGTTAAATAATTAAATGAATTTATTGCATCAAAACCATTGAATTAAAGCTCGATTAATGTCAACCTCAAAAAAAATGTCTGAGGGCGAGGACGAATACAGAAGGGCACTGTCCGTAGGCGCCCACACCGCCCCACCCTCAGCCGAATTCGCACCCACCCAATAAAAATCCTGAATATGGGCCTGGCTTTTCAGATCGCATAGTTTACAGCTACGTACGCAAAACAGACTAACGGTTTTATGAAAAAACAGGTCTAAATGTATGCAAGTCTATT